GATATAAGTTCAATGTGCATTTAATGTAAAGGTCACACAATCTAATGGATTGGTCAAATTTGCGGCATAGATTTGGATATCCTTTCTAATAGTTATTTTACAAACACTGAGTTGTCCTTACCACTGTTCCCACACCTTGTGCTTTTTTCATCAAATAATCTTTGGTACAAGGGAAAGCAATCTTACCATCTATACTTTCCATTTTGCATGTATGGTAAATGGGGCAATTTTAAAGATGGAAAACACTCGAGACCTAAAAGGATGTTCAATAGAACTTAAGTGTTTCTGTGAAACAGATACCCGTATGTCTGCTCACTTTAGCTCTGCCATGATCTATCTGCAGAGAAATTATCTTGCGTATTGGATAGGAACAGTATATGGGTGTGAATATTACATAGAACAAGGAAGGCTCATTCAGTTCAGATATACAAATTACAATTTTGCTCACATGTGCCTGACATGCATAGCACATCTGCAGTTATGTTACCAAAAAAATTTGTTGGAACAGGATCCAGAAAGAGCAGGAGCGATGTGAAAAAGCCGAAGCCCTTAAGCGTGAGAGAGAACAGCGTAATCAACAATTACTTGAGGTAGGTGGATTTTCTTGACTATGCATGTTTCACTCTGACTTCCCCATTCTCTTTCCTGTAGTCCTTCTTACTTACTCGTACTGCTAGGTGATTATAATAAATCATATGAACAATAACATCACAAGATTATTTGTACATGTTTCAAGTTTAAAATGATTAATTGTTTTCATTAAATGCAATAATTTTGTTATTGTTTTTTGTTTTTTTTTAATCTTTTAATTTATATAAATAGTGAGGGTTATGATCTAACGTAATTGCACCAATTAAGAAATTGTCCAGATTCAGTGAAATCTGGTCTAATGTTCTTACAAAGATTCTCCTATGCTTTCTAGCAATCCTTTTTTTACAAATTGTGTTGTATTTCAATTGTGCTATGTCATCTAGCTTGTATTAGGCATGTTTAAATCTGAGTGGCATGTCATAGTTTCCTCAAAAAAAAAAAAAATTGTTCCTTTTTATTAAATGCTTGTTGCTTGTTTATGTCATATGGTGCAATTGTTGGTGATGGTCCCATTTAATGTAAACAGTTTCTCCTTCTGAGTTTTTTCCCCCAGCATTTCAAGTAGTTCAATTATTGAGACCATGTGTTTCTTTCCTTAAGACACAATTTTTGAACACTTTCATTTAGCCAAATATTCATAGGAGAAAAATCCCATTCAACATAATTGAAGCTTCAGAAATGCAACCATTCACTCTTGTATTTCCACTTATTGATCAATATTGTTTGTGTATGTATGAATGGTGGCGTGTTTGATCAGTTGTGTGTGATAGTGATGCATACTTACTTGTTTTTTTGTTTTCTTTTTGTCCTTTTTGGTGGGCTAGCTTGCTGCCACTTTGAGTATTTCTGTTTGTTTTAATTTAGCGAAACCACTCCCCCCTCTTTACTACAGTTCCTCTAAAAATGTTGGAGGAGGAAGAGGCCATAAAGGTTTTTCTTAAATAAATTTTTTTACCATCATAGTCTATATGGTTGTTACAAATGTTGCTTGGCAAAGCAGGTTGTGTGTGAAACTAGCCCTTGGCAATGGCACTTAAGAAAAGGTTAGACAAATGGGGAAAAAATGGTTGAAAAAATTGGAGAACTTTTATTAAATTTTATAACTTTTCTTGATGATTCTGGATCCGTCATTGGTTTAGCCTTAACAAAATCTTCCATGCAGAGCATTTCTCCTTTTATATTTGATGTGACACTCAGCAGTATCATCATTTAACAATGTTAGAAAAGCTATGTGCATACATTGGCTAAGACGTCCATTGTAGATTAGTGTTATGTTAAGTGGCATTACCCTAAATAACAATGCTTCCTTAATAATTCATGGTGACTCCATGGTTGTCTAACTATGCTTTTGGAGAGAGCCTTAGACTGCCCTAATTCCCTTTGGCTTGTATAGTGGCATAAGACAGAAAAATATTTTGGATACATTCTGTTTTTGAGCCCCTAACTAATGAAAACTCTTAATGAATGCATTTCAATCTTCAGTTCATGGAGGGGGCAAAATGTTTGGACAGAAATAATAAATACTTAGTAAAATTCTTACAAGTTTTTCTTTGTCAAGTATAATACAGATTATAACTGTAGAAAAGTCCCTCGCACAATGAGATATTGTGAGCTCTTGTGTATTGAAAGAGTATTTATTGATACACATATGATATATATATTGACATATATAAATCTATTTATCATGCATTCCTATTTTATTATGTCAACAAAGTTTGTACCACAGATCTTATAACACAAAATGAT